CCTGCCAGAGCTGAATTGTTCGTGTATCACTGTATTGATGCTTCTGGATGTAGTGGGCCACAGAAGCCGCCCACTTTTCTCCGAGAAACGCCTGTAGCATGAAGACCAACCCCATACCTTTGGAATAACTGATGTCATCAAATATCTGCGTGATCTCTGCAGGGTCATGGATAGGCACTTCAACCGGATGGCTGTGTTCGTACATATCGGTTACGAGGGCACCTGTCACCTCCATGGCGGCATCCTCGTTTAATTTCCACGACGGCTCAAGGTGGTGAGCGGCGTCGTACCCGCACCATGAAGCAAATCCCTCCTTAAGCCAGAGGCCCTCCCACCAATTAATGGTCACAAGGTTGCCAAACCAATTGTGAGAGACTTCATGGCATATAAGTGACGCCGCTCGCTTCAGAGATACCACGCTGGAGGTTTGTTCTTCCAAAAGAATCGACTCCACACAGGCGATACAGCCCCAGTTCTCCATCCCGCCAATGGGGAAGTCGGGCACCGCCACAACATCCAGCTTGGGAAGCGGATATTTGCATTTGAAAAACTTCTCAAAATATTCCAAGGCAAAGGCAGTCGTCTTAAGCGCAAAAGCGGCCTTGTATGACTTCCCGACGGTAGTATAGACTTTCACAGGTATGCCGCAGGCGGTGGTCCCAACAAATTCAAGCTCCCCCACAAAGCAGGAGGTGAGATATGGCGGAACTGCGGGGATGGTTTCAAAGTGATGTATCACCGTATCGCCCTGAGTCTCCTTTGATTTGAGGGGGCCGTTGGACAGCACCGTGAACCCCGCCATGCTCGACGGCAGAGAAACATGCAGGGTAAAATCCGCGCGGGCAGACGGCTCGTCCTGACAGATGTAAAATAGCCGTGCGGCTGTGGGTTCGAAATGTGTCGCCGCCATTCTGTGCTCGGCACCATCACTTGTTTTAAAGACCGCACGGTACAAACCACGCATCTCCTCCCGAATCTCGTGGGAAAACGCAAAGGTCACCGTGTGTCCATCCGCTGGTTCCCCATCCAGCAGCAGCTGCAGGGTCCCCGCCTTTTCGTCGCGTCCCGCGATGGCTGCACCCGTCACACACTGGATATTGACAGAATTGCCGCAATGAAGTTGCACCTCTCTCGACGCCTCAACGCCCGGAGATCGTCGAAGCACCACCTTCTCCTTGCCCTCGTACCGCCAGTTTGCAAGATCCACGCTTACGTGCAGGTCGTATGAGCTAGGCACAAACGGATTGTGCAGCTTCACAGAGTTTGTGGCCGAAGACATTTTCACTCCTCACGTCTCCGTAGCCAATTTGATACAAGCAAATAATAATAGAAAAGCAAATAAATAAACTAGAGAATGATTGAAAAATTACTTTTCCTTTTTCTGCGCAAAGGCCATTCAAAAAAAAAACAAAGCAAAAAAAAAAAAAAAAAAACACGTCGGCGTGCAGCCACAAGGAGCACACGCCACAATCAACAGAAATGAAAAGAAGGCGCGGTCCAAAAGGCATCAAAGCTCAACACAACAGAAGGATCAATCGTTAAGTGAAAAATAAATAAAAAGTTTCGGTTTCTGCCATCACGGCCTTTTCCACCACGCAAAGACGTTCCGACAAGAAAGGGAGGAAAGGGTAACAACAAAAAAAACAACTTGAAAGCAGGATAAAAAGCAGAAAAAAGCAAAAAGAAAGAGCACCAGCAGAGTCACCAGTTGTTTCTGCCGCCATTTCTGTTCGCACACTCCACTATTTGATCCGACAACAGACGAATTTGCGTCTCCAATACCTCACGCACGCGCTCGGCATCTTCTGCCTGTTGTTGGTTGAGAGACAGCAGCCGCTCTATCTCTTGTTGGGCGTCTGCTAATGCATCCTGTTTCTCAGCCAACTCCAACAACGTATAGTTCATTTGAGTATGATAGCACACTGCGGCAAGATCCGTCGCAGCCAACGCCGCCACCAGCTCTCTGTTGTCTGCAGAGGCAAAATCGCAAGGATAGGTGGTATTGGAAGGAAGATCCACTGATGGAGAAACGTGCGGCACGCTTGTTGTTGGCTGAAGCCCAACATCCTTCGTGGCACACCAGGCACGCGCTGCAAAATTTTCCAGTGAATTACACATAAATTGCAGGGCCGCCCGCACGTGGTCGCTATTTGCGCTAGACGTCGAAATATCTCGCAGTTGATTTCGGAGCGACTCCACCGCCCCCCGCATCGACAGGGAAGCACCACAGCCTTCCCACCAAAACCGTTCTAGCGCTAAGAGCCACTCCGCCGATTCACAACCCTGCTGTTTGAACAAAGTGCAAGAATTCTCACAGAGTTGATGTAGCGCCTCAAGAGAACCGCGAATAGCAGCAATTGTGCCGACTGCACCAAGAGTAGTTGACTCAACAACCGCCTGTATCTCTTTTCTGTGCTCATTAGGATCGTGGCTGCCCGCTTTTTTACATGCGTCCACAAGAAGTCGGATGTTCTCACAAATCATCCCTAACCAGTTGTTAAAGGCTGATATAAGGACCCCTTGGAGACGGCGTATTTGTGTTAGTTTTTCGTCTGGTGTAGCCGACGCGGTAAATGCATCCTCCAGTTCCTTCACATGAAAAAGCAGGGTCGTCTTTTGCACTCCATGCACCTCAAGTAGCGTGCTAAGTCGCTCTCGGTAGCACCGCACTTCACTTATTGTAATGCCATTCATTTGTGTGCTAAATGAATCGCGGAGTGAAGCCACAAGAACAGAAACGGCACTCATCAACGTGCGAATAAAAGCAGCAACACCCGTTAATGTGCCGGTCGCCAATTCCTCTCGGACCTCACGCGGTGGGACACCCCCTCGTTCCGTCGTCAAGGAAGGCGCCATAGCAACATGAAGCTGCTGCTGGTGGTGGTGGTGTGCGTTTTCGGCGTTGTCCCATGACAATACAAAAAAGTGATGGCAAAACTGCACCAATGCCGCCTGCCTGGTGCACTCCGCATTGAGCTGGTCGCAGGAATGGGCTGTGGATTCTAGAATACTTCGCAGCTCCGTTACTTCTTCATGCATTGCGGCGCATTCAGAGGACCGCCGCTCTCTTTCCTTCCTCCACATTTCCCCCTCATCTTCATACTTTTTTTTCAAATCAAACAGTTGCATATGAATAGCTTCGTTTTGCGTGACTAGTTTTTCCTGATCTTCCTGCGACAACTTCAGAGGCAGCTCAGAAGCCTTTGGTCGCCTTGATGCAGTTCCCCCTTCTTCTCCATCAGTGCCCGTCACAAGCGAAGAAAGGCCCTTCAACGTCGTTTTCATGGACGCAGTAAAATGCCCACGTTTTCGTTCCGCCGCCGCCGCCGCCTCCGCCGCGCTGAGTTTTCTGCGAAGTGCCTCGTTCTCATCCTGCACACGTGCCAGCTCTTCCCCGATTGCAGCCATCTGTTCTTGCAGCTGCTTATTGTGCTGCTCAAGAAGCTGCTTCTCCTTCGTCACGCTAACAACAGCCTTCTTCAAGAGCGATATCTTCGCCTTGTCGTCGCCGTGGGCCATAAGCGCCGCCACCTCCTCCCTGCTTGACATCCGTGCCAAAAGAAGCGAGCACTCCCCGTTTCCAGCGGGGGGTAAAAGAAAAAAAGAATAATAAAAAAAAGAAAATTGCATAAAGGCAAGAAAAGACACAGTAATGCCAAAGATATCAATGACAAAAAAAAAGTCAAGAAACCAAAAAAAACCAAAAAAAAAAAACCAAAAAAAAAAAAAAAAAAAAAAAAAAAAAAGGGAATCCATTCAACGCATAAAAGTAAGTCAACGCACATGCGGGGAAGAAAAGAAGTATTGAGCGTAAATATACACTCCTTATATAAAAACACAGGCGTGTCTCTTTCTTTCTCTCTCTCTCTCCCATTCAATTCTTTCACCTTCCCGGGAACATCCTCACCCCTCCAAATAACTTCTCTTTCCACACACTCACAGGAATGAAGAACAAAAAATAAAATGCAACCCCATACGCCAACCTTTCCACCTCATTCATTTGGCTAATTGAAATTAGACCAAACGGACCCGGCCATCCAAAATATACGGCCTAAAGGCGCGGTATGGAACTAGAAAGATCTCGCCAGCATGAACTGCTTGCACCGCATCTTCCCCCAGGCGCACCACACCCAGATCGTCAAGCACAACACAAAAGACGTACTGGTCTAATTCCGGCACTGGCAACATTTCAACTCCCTCCGCGTAAGGAAGGTTCGGGATAAGGCACTGCAGCTCTGCTGGAGCAGACTGCAAACCCGCCTGGAGAACATACTTGGCCATTAGTTCCGCGAGTCGGTCGGCAACGATTACTTCGTTGTGCGACAGCATTCCGCGCAGCTGTGTTGGTGCATCGCTATGCAGCTGACCCTCGTAGAATAGCGACAATGCTAAGGCCTCAATTTTTCGCAGACGGCAACGCAAAAGCTCACAAAGAAAAAACTGCGCGCGTTGCACCTCAAGTGCCATGATGTCGGAGGGTTTAAAAGGAAGCAGAGAGGCGCCGGGGTCCTTCTCAGCTATTTGTTGCTTTTCTTCTGCACTCAAAAGTCTAATCTGCTCATTCTGAGCTGCTATCTGAGCTGCCACGCCGTCTACAATGGCTTCAGGATAAGGCAAGATGTCCGGTGCGCAGCGTTCATTCTCCGTCGCCTGAATAAGGGACTTGAGAAGCTCACTGAGAGCGGCGGAGGATATGTGTAGCGATGCCTCATTGTTGTTACTATTGCCATTTGTTCGCCTGCCCGCAACGCTGTCGGGGCTGGTTTCCCTGCTGAAAGCCTCATCCAAGTGATCCTCAAAAAACATCTCCGAAAAAACACTTTGTCCACAAGACACAAAGCAAGCAAAACACGCACGCAACAACAACAAAAAATCATTGGAAATAAAACAAAAAACAACAACAAACAAAACCAAAAGAAAACAAAAAACTTAAACTGCTCCTTAACAGACCTCGTAACACTATTCCAGAAAGAGGCAGAAAAACCCAAAAACACACAACCACAGGGAGCCGTCAAGCCAAAAATTCTCAGCTCACGATACATTCCTCATGGGGCACAGGAGGTGGTAATACACGTGGACGTGAGGGAAGTCTGGAGTTGGAGCGGATGGCTCGAGGGAACGGTTCACTTGCTTTCGCCGAATAAACGACATTCTGCGGTGTGAGAGTCGCGCAATTTGGCGTCAAGGAGTAGCGTTGAGCATCGACACTGTGTGCGGATGGAGAAAACGTTTCCACCTGACCGAACTCCGACGTGCACCCTTCAGTGCCTACCGCGATATCCTGACGCGAATCCTGTGGCCGCGTCGCCATGCCATTAAGAACAACCCACTCGTGCATCGCCAGTGAGTTTGCCATCTGTTTCCGTAGACATTCCATGCGCACACCGTCCCAACGGCAGCCCATGAGATCCTCTAGAGATTTCGTTAAAATCTCTTTATAATGGGAATGCTCTTCTTCGTTTATCCTAAAACGCACAATGCGCTCGGCTGTGATCAAATCCCCTTTCTCCCTCGCAAACCGATCCAAGAGCAAGTGCCACCCCCGGTGTCGATCCATAATAAACCCTTCAAAAGCAGTTTCGAGCTTTAATCTTTGGCGTCGTTCCTCCATCTCCACTCTTTGCAACTCCCGGAAGAACCTCTTGGATTCGTACGCTTGAAGCGACGAGTGACATTGGAGGCCAAAGTCCCCCATTTCTTTGAAGCCGCAACCTGAAGAATTTGATAAACGACGTGGCGCCCTTGCTGCTCCATCATAAGGGTGAGAGGAAGCTCTCACCGAGGTATTCCGCTGAGGCTGCAATAAGTCATGCGGAGAGCTTGAAGAATACAGATATCGAGAATGGCGAAGAATGCCCTCGGTCCACCCACTGCTCTCGACAACCCTGGCGGATTCCGAGAGGTTTTGTCGACGGCCGTTTGTTCCACTGACAGGTGCTGTGTGCCGGAGGTGCGGGCTGTGACACTCCACGGCCCTTCCCTTTTCCTGGGACCGCACGACAACTGTTGTGGTAGGGCCGTGATACTCCTCGAAGGGAGTCACCGTCCTCCCTTCGCCATGAAACGCCGCCGATGGTCCAGACGCCGCCCTCTTGCCACCTTCGCGCGAAAGGTGGAAATATGCAAATCGCGCCTGTGCTCCCAGGGGCTGCGAAAAAGGCGAGCGACAATCCCGTATGTACGTCTGGAGTGCGGCAGCATCGGCATTTTTCACAATTCGCTTCAGAGTCTTTTCATCCATAATTCACTGTGCCTCCTGTTGACATGCAGCCCCACAAGAATACTTCGGTGTGGTGGGCGCCGTCCAAACACAAAAAAGGAGACACCAACAGAGAAGTTGGCGCGCGTCAATTAGAAAAACAAAAGCAACAAGAACAAAACGGCAGTGCCACTCAGACAAGACAGTTTGCACAATTTCAGCACTCTTATCAGAAAGATTAAATAGATAAGTAACAGAAAGACACACACACAAAAAAAAAAAAAAAAAAAAAAAACCTTTAAAACAAAAAAAATCATTTACTCTCCACACACCTGATGGAGAAAGACAAATGCCTCACGACCCCGTCGCCTATACACCCACGTACGCGAAAATTCAACATAAATTTGAAGAAAAAAAAAAAAGACCTTCTCAATCTCCACGATACCGTTTGCTTCTGGCGAAGCCCTAGTGCGCAGCAATGTATTTACTGATTGGTGCCACGTATTGCTCTTTTTTGCGCTTCGCCAACATCCTATCCAGCTGTTTTTGCATCGCTTCTCTCACACCTTTGGCTACATCCGCGCCGGTTGCACCCGCGTCATATTCATAATTCCCAATGAAGAAGTGTACGTCGGCAGGGAAGCCCGGGATTCCTTTCATCACCGGGTCCCACACCTCATGAGAGCCATAGTACACCACATAGTGTATGGGCAGCTGGTGCTTCATGAGAATATTAAAGGTGCCTATACGGAAGTCTTTGAGTGTTTCTGGCGTGCGATTGAGGACACCCTCTGGGAAGAAACAGATCACGCCGCCTCCATCCATAAACCCTTCCGCCTCCGTCATTACCACTGCCTGCTTTTCCCTGTCCACAGAGAAGGAATTTACATCCGTCGAGTTAAAGTACACAGGTAGATGACCGCACGCACGAATAACCTGCCCCATGATTGGCATCCTCCACAGCGCCTTTTTCGCAAACGCCTTGCAGTTGGACACAAAACTCAAAGGGCATAGCCAGAGAAAAAGAATTGTGTCAAAGAAAGAAGTGTGACATGCACATACGACACCCCTGTTTTCAATGGCACGCCAATCCAATGATCCCTCAAGAAACCTCACGTGAATGTGAGGAGATAACCACCAAAGCGCCTTGCCGAGCAGAGCCCCGGTGATTCTGCACGACATTCTCTCACTGCGGCGTTTTTTAATAATTTTTTTACCGGCGAGAATGCGGAGAGGAGTGCAGAGCGCAAAGCACATCACCGCAAGCAGGAGAAGACACAGAGAGAACCACAACCGTGCGACTATAACCGGGCAACGACGTGTGTACAAAAGCCACATAAAGATGGCAAAAAGAAACAAAAACAACATCATTCCCTGGGCAAGTGCACTCTGGTGTGCTTATGTGAAAATAACCGACCAATCCTTCAAACACGCATAAAGGAAAATTAAAAAAGAAAGAAAAAGGGGGGGGAAGAAAAAAAAAAAAAAAAAAAAAAAAAAAAAACATGCAAATACGCAGTAGAAGAAGAAGAAAATAATGATAATAATAATAATGGAAAATAGGGACGCATTGACACGCACTAAAAAGTCACCACATCATTGAAGACTTCAGTTCTTCGTTAACCCTCATTCACCACAACAAACAGATCAGAAAACTAACGGTCAATGTATCCGTTTGCGTCTTTTTTTTGTTTTTGTTGCTGTTGTTGTTGTGTGTGTGAGTGAGTAAAGCACCGCGCGGCGGGTAATAAAAACCTAATAAGCACCTAAACCACAGATATGCAGAAAGGTGAAAGTAGAAAACCACAACAATAACCCCAAAAAAACAAAAACAAAACAAACCAAAAAAAAAAAAAAAAAAGAAAAAACAAGTTTTATTTAGGGCTATCTCCAACGTACTCACCTTCTTTCACCCAGTCGTCCTCATTGCCGTATTGAGGCCCCCGCAATGAGTTTGTGTGGTCTTTTTTTTTTTTTTTTTCTTCGACGTGAGGCCCGATACGCCCTCCAACCGTTAGGAAGGGGCTGGGTGTTTTCCAAGCCCTGCAGGTGCGCACACGTTTCCACTCTCGGATCAAAAATACAAAAACAAAACAAAAAACGCAAAAAAAAAAAAAAAAAAAAAAACAAAAGAGACAACCTCGACTTGTAAGCGATACGGTCGCTCTGTGACTACGGAAGAAAACAAAAACACGAAGCAAACAACAAACAACAATCAGAAAATAAAAGAAGGCCCTACCCACCCAACCAAAACAACAACAACAACAAAAACAAGAAAACAAGAAAAAAAAAAAAAAAAAAAAAAAAAAAAGAGAGAGAGAAAGAAAAAACGATACCGAAGTATTCGACCCCACAAACCAAAGATGCATGGATCTAACAACAACAAGAAAAACAACAACAACAACAGAAAGAAAAAAAAAAAAAATTCAATGATATTTTTGACCAATTATTAACAACTAACCGGTTCATTGCCATTTCCCGTACACACACACACACATAAAAAAAATAGATGGATATATTTCTTTTACATAGAAAAACACAATATTTCCCTCTTTTTATTCGTTTCCTCTTTCCTTTCTCACAAATTTTGTCCAACGTAAACTTTCCCCCCTCCATTATTTTATCTTCATTTTTTTTTTTTTTTTTTTTTTCATCCTTTGCTTTTTGCGTCATTTCCATGCGGTTTCTTTTTACTGCATATAAATATAAATATATATTTCTCTCTCTCTCTCTCTCTCTTTTCGGATTGTTCCCGCGTGATAGTGATTTTTTATTTTTTATTTATGTTTTTAATCGCTGAATCACAATATAAACGCAATAATAATAATAATAATAATAATAATAATAATAATAATAATAATAATAATAATAATAATAATAATAACAGAAGGGTAATAAAATTAACAGAAAACAGCAATAATATATCCGTCAATGGCATCTCCCAAAACGGAGAAAAATCGAGCTTTTTACGGACAAAGAAAGTGCCAATTGACACATACAAAACAAACAAACAAACAAACAAACAACCAAAAACAAACAACCAAAAGAGAAAAAAAAAAAAAAAAAAAAAAAAAAGCATGGTAAAGTCTGACAGCCATACTGCGCAGAACAACAATGAAGAATTCAATCAAATAAAAGGACAGAAAGGTAGAGGGCATAATTAAAGTGATCCTCTCTCTTTTCTCACGTTCTCATATATATATATATATATATATATATAAAGAGAATGTGCTAGTTGGACACAGCAACTTTTTTATTGAAACCGTAAAGTTGGGTACCCTAACTCCTCTATTCAAAAAGGCTTTAAATACGTCATCTTCATATATACGCACATATGTATGCAAAAATACAGATAACTAGTTCTACGTTTATGTAGATGTAGAAATAGAATTATATACAAATGTTCCTTTTATCAATAAATCGACACCAGGGTTACGGTAAATTAGAAATATAATGCAACCATATGTCCTCACTATGGGTTTATAGGCGTGTTGGAATTAACTGCTGATGAAGATGCACCTGGAGGATTTCGACAAAGCGGTGGACGACGCTTGGCAAGAGGAGGTACATTCATACTCATTTTTCGGCCACGCACAAGCACGGATCCAACGGGAGAGGTGAAGTTCCGAACGCTTAGTATTTCTTGAAAACGGTTTGCACTCTTTTCCTCATCCCCAGTTCTTGCCCCCCGGGAATTCTTTGCATCAGGGAATAAGGATTTCACCCCTTTTTCTACGGATGACTGTTGGTAGTTTTCGTGGGCGTTTTGTAAATTCGTATTGGGGGAAATTGGAACAACCGGAAGAGCACTTCCATTCGGTCCGGGGGTAAGATATGAGGCTCCAATCGGTTGCTTTGCTTGGGCCCATGGAAGAATGTAGTTTGTCGGAACAGCCATGAGAGGTGCACCAGCACCACTTTTTGTTGCGACAAAGGCGGGTCTTTGGTGCTGTAGTTCCGTAGCATCCTGAAACGGCAGCCATACAAAAGGGGTGCCTTGAGAAGCCGCGCTTGGTGGCATGCCTGCCGACGTGCCAGGACAAACCGGCAACAGCATCTGCTGACCCCCCTCCGTGAAGTACAGCACGTATGCCTTCGCGTCATTCATGGCAATCGCCATTCGAATCCGTTATCGCGCGTATTTACTGTTTTTCTTTTTTCTTTTTTAATTGTTCCTGCCGTCAGGCTTCTTGTGTATCGTCAGTACAAAAGCTACATAAAAATTAAAAAGACAAGCACACCAAGTGTGCAGTTGCGGGGTGGATAAATAAAAGATAGACACACACACACACACACACACACACACACGTATAGACAAGAAGGATTTTCACCACAAGAGAAAAAGTAAATGCAAAGATAAAATTCACCCTTTTCCACGCCATCATTTCTTTTCCGCGCCACTCAGCAGGTTCTTTCTCACACCAGACACATTAAAAAACTGGCAATAGACACATAAATAAAAGCAAGTATGTGCGTCCCCAGCCAAAATAATAGGGGGGTGCTAATTAAAAAAAAAAAAGAAAAAAACTGCATAAATAGGAGACCAAACCATCGTAAACAAACCAAAATATCGCAGTTAAAAATAAGAAGATGCCAAAATAAACGCCTCTTTTCTTTCAATTTACCGCAGCCTTCAGATATTATTGGTTACTTCACATACATGTAGTTTTACTGTCGCTGTCGTCTCCATTTTTCTTTCTTCCTTTCTCCTATCCCAATGATGCAGAGGTTCACATGTAAGAATAAAAGGAATGAGGCCAAAAGAAAGAAATATGCGGTGTGGATCGGAATACGAGCTCCATCACCTCATCCATTCCTGAAAAGGCCATCACCGTCACTTTCCCACTCTCTTATAAAAGTAAAGAAAAGCCATAGAGAATGGCGGGTTGAGGGATTCGGCGACTTTTTCATCATTGAACAACAACCACTTTCCGGTCTGTGCGTCACAAATATGACAGACGTAATGCCCCGTTTTTGCGCTTGCTCCCACGTGGCTTATCATGGCATGCAGTCGGTACTTTGCCGGCCCATCTAAAACATGCACCGGCTGGCTCTCGGATGCAGTGGTAGAGATTTCAGCGAGTCCGGCCTCTTCCGCGATATTCTCGCGACTGAATACGTAGTCAACCGCTCTTTCCGCATTCATGCCCGTCTGTAATAGCGCGTATCTGGCCACGGTCTCTTCAATACCCATACTCAACAACATGGCAAGGGCCTCTTCATCCACCGTTTTCATTGAAGAGGATGTCGGCTTGTGTGGGAGATCCTCTCGCGCCTCAGGCATCGAAACTTCGTCTGACTGCAGGCCCTTACCGCGGAGGAACTCCAAGTCCAGCTCTAAAGGGACATCCACAAACACATCAAGCTTCCTGACACTCATGGTTTCCATGTCGAACTGCGCCCGACGGAGGAAAATGGGGAGAACATCCGGAAAAGTCCTCAGTCGTGTGGTTTTGCAGTACGTGACCGGAATCCCGCAGGCACTGCAGCGGCAGTCAATATCCGTTGCCTGCATTAGTGACCCGAGACACGCGTCTAAAGAGATATGAGGACGGCTGGCAAAAATTTCCTCCTCGGTTTGTTTTGGATTTCCATCAGAATTCTTTAGATTAGGATCCAACGGAATTGGTAATGAAAGGCAACAATCGGTCTCACGTGTGTAGCGCACCTTGTGACACGAACCACACTGCACGCGGTGCTCAACGGTCATCTTAAATATGTCAACTGGATGTGAAATATTCGCACCCACAATATTTGATGGCTTAACGTAGCGCCGCATTTGTTCTACCAAATACA